ATAACATGACATGAATGATAGTATATAAGTGTAACCTGCTCGTCATCCAAGGGACATGGTAGTTGATCTGGCTGGACCGGGTGCCAGTCTGGATGTAAAGACGCCAAACCTCATCGCAGGCACCAGCATAGGTGAAACAACAACGGTGAAACTATAATGATCAAGGGCTCAAGGCTCAAGGGGGTGATATTATAACGGCCAAAAAAAGAACACGCAAATTTATGATCATGATCATGATCATATAACTTTACCAGTACCGGTACTGGTGCATCATATCAAGAATTAGATGAGTTGAGAGTTGAGACATGAGACAAACAGAAACCGTTTTGCCTAGCAGCCATCCTTCCACTTGCTAGCCCATTGGGGTCCAGAGCTTCCACTTGATCACGCCGAACATTTTGCTGATCAGCAAAGTCCCTCTGCCACTTTCTTTTCGCTCCATCTTCAGTTAAGCCTAGGTTTCGACGGTGTACTTTGAGAACCCACGCGTTACACATGAATCTGAACTATTTGAAAGATAGATTTATGTTGACATAAATCATAGATATCCGATTAAAACATGGTATTCGGCTTCGGTGATTCAAATTCAAATTCCAGTCAGTCAGTCAGTGAGACGGAAACACCATGGAATGGATTCGACCATGAAACCTATCAGTATCAGTCTAGTCTAGTTATCTAGTTCTTAGTTCTTAGTGGCTGAAATTACTAGTCAAGTAGCGGAGATGAGGTGGTGACTTCTGAGTATACCATGTGATGTATTCTGGCAACGACAATGGCTCAAAGTTCAACTGATCCTCATAGCGCTTGCCACCTGATTGAACCCTTTCAATAGAAGCAAAGTCATAGGCTTTGCGAGATGCACGCTGAGTGGAACTGGTGTCTGTCCTCAGCACCCCACTGCAAACCACCATGAGTCATGATGGGGTGGACCAGCATACAAGATTGGTTTATTGATTACTGCCTTTAAAATGTACAGTTGATCAAACTAGTGGTCTTGCTTGCTGGTTCAAATATACAATATATATATATATATACTATACACATATCATATTATATATTATATATACATAACTTTCCTGTTTTGGGGGGAGGTGGCTGAGTGGCCGAAACTGAAGATTTGTGCAGTATGAAGCCGAGATGCATCTCTTCACAGAAGCGCTTCAAATGCATGATGAACAAGCCCTCAGAAGAAGAATGATAAAGCGATGTGATGCATTTATATATGCCGATAAATAAATAAATATATATATATACATATATGTATCAGTATCAGCGTGTGTGATTTCAATATATATATATAGACATACAGACAGACAGACAGACAGACATACATACATATATATACAGAGGTATCTATATACATACATAAGATGATAAGATGAGATCAATTACATTTTGTATGAGGGATATTTGCATTGGTATCATGAATCATGGTTTCAATCTCATTGTCGGAGAATAGGAAGTAAACTTTATTGAAGCCATGGTCCTCATCCATGTCAGAAACAGCCACATCACCTAGTCTGATAGACCGCCAAACCTAGGCCTGAACCCGGACCCCAAACATCCCGGGAGTCAATTATCAAACCCAAAGAACAAACCCCACGTCACCATTGCAGTACACATGTTCAGACAAAGAGTCATGGTGCTGCGATTCCATGTCCTGCAAGATACTGTCTCTGCCTGCCCGGACTGCTTGCTGCAGGAACTGCTTCTTCTTCCGGATGTGTTGCGTGCACAGCTGTGTTTGCCTGGCCGTGTGAATCATAGCTAATGACAAAACATAGCCTTCATGACTTCATGAAATGGTTATTGATGTTGACATGCTTGAACCTAATTAGCCCAGGCCCAGGCCCAGGCAATGAAACCTTTGGATGTTCATCTCTTGAATGAACTACATATGGAATGGCTGACCTACAGAGTTGGCTAACTGTTGCCAAGGGGCACACGCACTCGATGAGCGCACGCAACACCACATACTTCACAAGGGCATTGACCAGGAGGTAAGGCCGGAACATCTACTTGATCAGCCTTCTCCGCCATAACCCCCTATGGTTGCCCCTGCTGCCACCACTAGGCTAGGACAGGCCGATGTGAGTCGAATGGTCTGATCTGTTTGAACTCAAAAGCTCAAAGACAAGACGTCACTCAAAACAATTGAAATGTAATGCACAGGAAGGGGAGGAAAGAAACCGGAGAACAACATCATCTTCTATCAGCGTGACTTAGTCGACAAGAATATTTCACTAGCATTATCTCAGCGCCAGCATCTGTGTGCTAAACAAAAAGCACAAAAATGAAATGAATTGAAAATGAAAAGCTGTTGACTGTTGACTGTTGACTGTTGACTTTGCTGCAAATACACACCCCACACAATGCCCACCCATCAAAACATTTTGATGCAACCTCTCCGACATCAGCAGCTGTCATTCTGTCATTCATCAATGAAATCAAAGCCACTCCAAGTCGTGTAATCATCTACATTCGTGTGTGTCTCCCGCACAAATTTGAATTCTTCATCCTCCTCAGTGTCCTCAGCAACCACAAGTTGGGCATCAGGCATTTGGATGGGAATGCGCACCCGGTTGTTGCACCAGTCATCTGAAGGAACAAATGTCGCCAAAATGACGGCAAAGACCGATCCAACCACTGTCATGTGCATCGCCTCAAACAGAGCAGCAACAGATTAATCAACACATATTACACACATGTCATGGCATATATATATATATATATTTCGTCAAAATACCTATCATTATTCATTTTCAAGACTTCAAGAAGATCATGATCATCTTCTCTAATAATCATATTGATTATCAAAAGATCATACGCTTGTACTGAGCATATGTATATAGGCATGTATGTTTACATGAAATACATCACTACTCAATAGAAATATGTCTAGTGTAGTCTAGTAATGTAGAATCTTATCTTGAAACTTGCAACTGAATGTGGAAATACATTCTATATAAAAAGAAAAGACAAGCGGCATTACCACTCAATCTTTTGATCACCCCATCAGGCATATCGGCAAAGTGAAAGGGTGGATAGGGAACATCGGCTGCAAGATGAGCATATGCCGGCACCCCCATCAAGCAAAGGTGTTCCTGTGAATCCGCTTCGTGAATAGAATCATCATCTTTGATGATGATCACCATGATCCAAACATATCTTGAATTGGAATGGAATGGTTTGAGAATGAATTGCTGTTGATAATTGCATGATTTCATGTCTCATGTCTCATGTCTCATGACATATAATACATGTAACTTGTTTGTCGGTCCTTTGCTAGCAGGGATCGTTCCTCGGTATCCCTCGAACTGCCACCTTCCGGGGTAATTACCCACATCTGCCCCGTCCGGAGCAAAGTGGGGACCAGGCTGCTGACCACTGCACGCTGTGCTGGATTCTGCTGCAAGTTGCACACGGCCGAAGTAGCACCTCGGAATCACGCAAGAGGGGCGGTGGGCGGCAGCATGCAGAAGAAAGCCAGATCAACATGTTCAACTTCAGCGCATTATGTTGAACTAGACTGACTGGGACTGGGACTCGGACTGGGCTAAATTTCATTTTATTTGGTTACAATTTACAATACTACTTTACTAGTTACTAGATCATAGATAACTATCATATTATCATTATCATGATTTACCTTTGTTTACCTTTATCATCCTTCAATGATTGGGATTGGGATTCATGATTCATGGCTCAAAGATGGTGCGAACAAACCAACCTTGCAACTTGCAACGCCATATACACTGAAGTGCTGACTAGTCACCTCGCTCCCAGATCTTCAAAACTTTTGGATGAACACGATACTTCTCCAGCCAAGCAGGTTGTGCACCTGGGGCTGAAGGAAGGCTTTGTCAAATCCGAGGTGGTGCCTTGCACCCTGCCACTGGCACCCCAGAGACACACTTCACTGAACCGAGAAACCTGTCAGCAAGTCGACAAAGCGAGAGTTGAGAGCACGATGCAGCTTGTGAGCCAGTGTCAAGCGATGCTGTTCCACCTCATCCTTAGAGCGATGCAATCTGATGTAAGTATGGTTTTGTATCTTGTGATCGAACATCCATGCAAAAAATGCAATGTACATCATACTCATACGTCATCAAAACACATGTCATGACATATATTATGATTATATATATACACACATAGATACTACATATACATACTACATACTACTACTACATACTAGTAAATATGTAAATTTACACATGCCGCTCGCCTACACACACATTGCAACTATTACATCTATGAGAATCCAAGGGCGCTTGAAGATGATGCTTGGCTGAAAGCTGGGGAAAGCGATAGAGCTTGTTGATGGTTTGCAATCCGCAAGCCCCCAGGATTCCGGAACCCTTCCGCAACAACACTGTGTAGAGCCGCGGTCGATTAGATGGCCATCCAAAGAATGATTGCGAAAGCAGCCATACCCGCTTTTGGGTGGATCCAGCTAAGCCGTCCACGGCCTAAGTTCAACCAACCATTATGAGCTACAATACAATGCTAAGATAGATCCACCAGACATTAGGATATCATGAATCATTGATCACGTTGCAAAGGATGTGAGATGAACTCAAAGAAATTTGTTTGCATGTATTTTTATGTACATGTAGTACATATGCATTATATGATGTTTGTTAGTGTGATTTAGTGTGTGTATAGTGTATATATATATTATATATATATTCATTTCAAACATTATAATCTAAGTCTTTGCTAAGTCTAAGTTCTGGCTTTAATCTGCCCATGGCCCATGACCACCATGCCCTATGCCCCTCTTCTTAACAGAGTCCAGTAACATCCGGCTGGTTGAAGCTGAGGATATCATAGAGATGACCGAGATAGTGATTGAATAACGATCTCATGAATCTCCCTGTGCACTCGTGAACTGCAATGTCCTTACTGGACACTGGACATGCCGCCCTTTAGGTGAATGGTGGATGTTGCTGTTGGTTGGTTGGAAATTGGAAAGTATTCATGTCCCTAACACTTCTAGACCAACACCAACTATTGCTAGCTGCTTGAAATACAACCCATCGGCAAGAAAGACCAACAAAAATAACATTCACATTTCTTCTCTTCGATGGTTCGATTTGATCGATTGAAAATCTGTAAGAAGTGAGATAAGGATCTGGGAGCACCATTTTGATCTGAGATAACCATATGGCCAAAGGTAGGGATGAGGCACCAAGCAACCCCAGAAGTGCTCCAAAAGCGCTTACATCTGTACATGTGGTGCCTGCCCCAAGCACCCTGAGAGTGCGACCACATACTTCAGAATCGAAGCTGCCAAAAGGTGTAGGACACTCACATTCCTGGGAAGTTTATCTCTTACGAAACGGAAACTCAGAATATGTATTATGCATGTCGTGTATCAAGTAACTATCAACTATGAACTAGTTCAACGTTCAACTAGCCAAGCCAATGAATAAACTTCACTTTTGATAAACATATCAGACAGATCATAAGTTGAAAATATACAAAGCATCTCACTAAGTGAACAAAAAACAATATATACTTGGTCGGTCGGATTGTCTCAAAATAGCTTATCTAACATTGATGGCCGATGATGATGGTGACTCATAAATCTATGTTATGTAATGTTATGTAACCATAAACACTGCTTTGTATTCATGGACGCAGTGGCATCCTTATTTTGAGACACACCAGACACCAGACCTTATTTTGGTATCCTCCGGACTCCGGACCAGTGGCTGCGGCTGAGGCTGCTTTGCGAGAACGACCGCTGGACTGACCCTGGACTGCTGAATGTTTGTAACACTTTGCACTTCTCATCCACAAGGATGCATCATCCAACACCTGCATGTACTCCTCAAACATTTTCCTTCCATACATATCCTTAAGTGTTTTGCACCCCTCAGACTCATCCGAAATGTTCTATTCACCTTAGGGTTCAGAAAACAAATTAACAAGCAATCAATACGAATCAACATTCATTCATCATTCGGATGAGATTGTAGAGTTGAAACTTGATATCTGCTGCAGGTTACGTTTCTTGTCTTCGTACTCTTTCAGGGAATTCTCTGTGATCTTGTCCAGCTTGGCACGTGCTTCCACCGAGATCTTTGTTAGCAAATCACCCACAACGTGAGCATGATCAAAGCCCTAGGTCGCATGTGCAAAGAAAGAATGATTGGCTGCCGAGTCTGAGTCTGATGATGTAATAAATCAATGTCCTGGATTCCTGGATTACTTGAACTTTACAAATCATTCTTCTTTAAAAGATGTTCTGATATCTATGCTTCTTAGTGCTTTTCCATTTTCCATCAGATGTTTTTTTGAACTAGAGTAACTAGGGCCAGACTCATACCCAATCAAACTTGCCGTCCCAATGCCATGACTAGCCTTCTGCCGAGTAAGCAATGCTTGTCGGCAATGCGGATTCAGATCATAGGCTGATGCTAACTCTACTCGACACATACCTTAGCACCGGGCATTCAGGCTTGAGTAAAACATGGGATGTTTTGTAGATTGTATAACTGTTTACTGTTAATTGTTAACTATACTATATTACAATGATGACCTAACTTAACTATACTTTATTACAATGCGACTTGCGACTCATGATGACTCATGACTCTTTGAAGAAATATATGAACAATACAAAAAGAAAATATCCCAATAATGTAGCTTGAGATTCCAGCAGGTGAGTGAAGATTGGCATTGGTCTTCTCCATCTCCAACACAGTGCTACGCAAATTGTTAAATTGCTGCACCAGGGCAGCTCCACATGTCCCCATGCCAGCAAAGTCTTCATGTAATACTATGCGATCGACGGAGAGCAGAAAGTTGATGAATGACTTTCTGGTATCATCATCTGATAGTAGTGTATCCGAGCTGTACTGATGCCATTTGAACAAGTCTTCAAACGAATCGGGCCCCAATGGAAACTTTGATGCAAAACTGTCCTGCGATGCTGGGTATGATCATTGGAAACGAACATAAAGTTACATAATGTTCAACAACTAAACCCCAACTAATTTCTTTAACATATTATACAACATTATTGATTGAAAAGAATCATGAGAATACAACCTCCTTCTCTCTATCATCACGCCCCAAAGACATAGTTGAAACCCAAATCCTGATCATCATTCAGGCAATCTTCATCGCCAATGACAGTACCTTCAGCATCTGAATTGCTGCCACTGCCACCGGAGCTTTTGATGGACCGCTTGCGCTTGTTCACCATGGGGATGGCGACTGACCGGTGTTATTGGGTTTGTTATTGGATGAAAGGTCATTTTGGTAGAAATTGTTTTGATAGATGATAGAAGCATCAAAATCTTGAAACATCTTATCTCGATTGTTGATGGAACTAATTATGGAGATGGTCAAGGCTGGCCAGAGCTAAAGTACAAGTCCGAGAGTTAAAGTACAAGTCTCAAAATTTTGAGACTTGTACTTTAAGTTTGGGACTTGTACTTTAACTTTTTGTATGACAGAATTTGGGAAAAACAATCAAAAAACATTGTTTTTTTGCTAAATCTGCATACACAAAAGTTAAAGTACACCTGTACTTTAACTTTTGTATGACAGAATCTGGTTTTTTCTTATGTTTTTTCTTGTTTTTTCCCAAATTCTGTCATACAAAAAGTTAAAGTACAAGTCCCAAACTTAAAGTACAAGTCTCAA